TTCATTCCTAAAAATGGGAGAGGCCATGGTACATTCCCCATGGGATCTCTCCAATTATTTGGGCTAAATGTTGGTGCTTTGTTTCTTTGTGAGGGCTGAATCTTCATAATTTGGAGTGAGTTTTTGCTGAATTGTGATGTTTGGAGGATTTTGTGATCTAGGTCTTGATGCTTGGAGGATTTTTGGGCTCAGTCTTAGAGTTTTGGAGGTTCTTACAGACACATGATGCCTAGTGACTTCCTGAGATGAAGTGGGGCAAGGAGAATCTCCAACATGCTCTATTCTTGTTTTTTCCCCAAAACAGGATTTTTCACTCCCAGGGTGTGGCCAGATGGAGGAGGAGGAAAAGCCCTGGAGATCCCACACGAGGAGTGGCAGCAAACCCAGCCCAGGGAGATGCAGGGAGGAAAGAGCCCCCCTGAGCCAGGAAGGCGGGCGGAGATCCAGGCGGAGCTCGGAGCTGGTGGAGAAGCCTCATGGCAGGGAGAAGCCCCACAAGTGCTTGGAATGTGGGAAGGGTTTCAGACGGAGCTTGGATCTGATCCAGCACCAGGTGATCCACACTGGGGAACGGCCCTACGAGTGTGAGGAATGTGGGAAGCGTTTCCGCTGGAGCTCCAGCTTGAGGCAGCACCAGGTGATCCACACTGGGGAACGGCCCTTTGAGTGTGGGGAGTGTGGGAAGAGCTTCAGCCAGAACTCCATCCTGATCCAACACCAGAGGATCCACACTGGGGAAAAGCCCTTTGAGTGTGGGGAATGTGGGAAGAGCTTCAGCCAGAGAGGCCACCTGATGCAGCACCAGGTAATCCACACTGGGGAACGGCCTTACGAGTGTGGGAAATGTGGGATGAGCTTCAGCCAGAAGGGCCACCTGATGCAACACCAGAGGATCCACACTGGGAGAAAGCCCTATGAGTGTGGGGAATGTGGGAAGTGCTTCAGGCAGAGCTCTGGCCTGAGGAGACATGAGAGGATCCACACTGGAGAAAAGCCCTACGAGTGTGGGGTGTGTGGGAAGAGCTTCAGTATGCAGTTCCAGCTGACAGTGCACCAGAGGATTCACACTGGGGAAAAACCGTACAAGTGTGGGGAATGTGGGAAGAGTTTCAGAGAAAGCTCAGCTCTGATCCAGCACCAGGTGATCCACACTGGGGAACGGCCCTACACCTGCTTGGAATGTGGGAAGAGCTATGGGTGGCACTCTGACCTGAGAAAACACCAGCGCATCCACAGCGGGGAGAAGCCCTACGAGTGTCCTGAGTGTGGGAAGAGGTTTCAGATCAGCTCCAGTCTCCTCGTACATCAGCGGATTCACACAGAGGAGAGGCCCTACCGCTGCCCCGACTGTGGGAAGGGCTTCAAGCTAAGCTCCCACCTCACCGTCCACCGGCGCATCCACACCGGGGAGAGGCCGTACAAATGTGGGGAGTGTGGGCAGAGCTTCTCCACGAGCTCCACCTTGACCAAACACCAAAGGAGGCGCCACTGAGGGGGGAGGCCCTGTGAGTGCCCTGAGTGAGGGAAGAGCTTCATGTGCTGCTCCAGCTCCATTCCCTATGGGAGGATCCACATTGGGTGATCCTCAGTGACCCTGGGCAGATCCCTGGTGATCTATGGGCATGGTCATCTGTGTTGGGAAGACACTTGGCTGGGAGGCTCCACATCTTCCTCGTTCCCTGTGGGCACCTAGATAAACCCAGTGGCAGGAACATCCATCAGGATGCAGACCAACAATGGGAATTCCTTGGGGAGAGCAGATTTGTCGACTTTCAACCTCATAAAATCTTTTGCATTCAGTCCTGTGTTCTGGTGGCATCAAGGAATACTGAATGGTCTTGGAGGTATGTCCTAGGTTGACTATATGATGCTTGTATCCCCAGTTGTCTGTTTGCAACTTTAAGACTTGTTCCAAGAGCAAAGGAGGGAGAGAAGTGCAGAGTTTGTTTTCAGAAACTGCACTCACTCCTCCACATTCCTGCTCCTGGGCTGGGTTTCCTGCAGATGGACAGACAGCAGGACAGAGCTCTCCTTTGCTGTTAATTAGTTTTAGCTAGCTGTGGCAGAGAAGTTCCCTGGACTGTGGCTGTTTTTCCCTTTTCTTTGGACCTGTTTAAACCTGCTCTGGCCTGAACACCCAGAAGAGCACCGGCAGCTCACACCTGTGGCCCAGCGGGCCAGGCCTGGACTGTGGCATTTCCAGCACTGGAGGTACTGATAAGACACTGAGTGAGCTGAGCTACAACCCACGGAGGGACTTCCTGAGTTTGTCTCTCTTTTAGAGCAGCAAGAGGTTTTATTGTTTAATAAACAGTTTTTTCCACATTTCTGCATGGAGGTATTTTATTTCTCATGAACCAGTTGAGGAAGGAGCCAATTGAATCTGCTTTCTAGAGGAATCCCTGAAGCAAATAGCACGCTCCAGCACGGTGTTGATGAATGGAGGCAGAGATCTCTGAAGTTTGCTCTTGGAGAAAGAGGTTTATTGGGGGTGCAGAAGGTTCTGCCTCGTGCTCCCAGACGCAGCACGTGGTGGGCCCTGAGAGGGTGGGGGAGGGAGAGACAAAAGGAGGGTCTAGGAGAGGGGAAGCTCCAAGAGGGGAGGAAGTTCCAAGAGAGGGGAAGAGGTTCCAAGAGAGGGGAAGAGGTTCCAAGAAAGGGGAAGAGGTACCAAGAGAGGGGAAGAGGTTTCAAGAGACCGCATGGCCCCTTGAAGCCTCCTTATCAGGGGCTTCCAGGTGGGTTGGGATAAGGCATAGGCCAATAGGGTTACAGACATTTGATATTTTAAGGGAGGGATAGAGGTGTGGGGTGAACCATACATCTTTTGCGGGGTGGGATGGAACAGTCCGTTTCACCCCAGGACTCATCCGAATGCAGGGGTGTCATCCAGCTAAGCTGGGGAAACTGTTCTCATCCTAGCTGTATTATTTATGAACAATCATATCTATCTATCATCTGCAAAAATTGCCCTTTTTCGTTAAACCATTTAAAGGCTAAATACTAACTTAATTACTATTTTTTGCACAACCTGAGGTATATAGGATATTGCTATTGAAACTACACTTATTACTTTTAAAAACAATCAAGCTTAATTTACAGAGTTCCTTCAGCCAAGGTGCAAAGCTCAAACCTTCAGATAAACTGTTCAGCTAGATTACTGATTATGGTAGAGGTGGCATTTATTTCTTTACTGATCGAGCATTTTAACTTTTTGACTGCTTTAGTGTAATGGAAGAATTTAACTGAGGTAGCATTATCAAAACCTTCTGGGGAAGGTTCTCTAATTATCCAGGTTGAAAAAGTCTATTAGGGCTTTGTATCATCTAGAGAGATGGTACCAGAGCCTGCAGACTTGGCCAAAGCAACCCAGGCATTTGTCTTTGGTTAACTTAGAGGTGAAACTTATATACAAAAATTGAAACAAGAGAACAAATGCAACAACAAGGGAACAAAAGCAACATGCATGTGTAAACAAATGTCCATTTTCTTTCTTGACTTGTTTCTGGCAGGTAATTTTCTTCTCAGCTCTGCACAGTTCAGGTCTGAGTACCTGCTTCTTGGCTTGCACCTGCAGAGTCACTGCTTGGTATAGGGATGTCAGTAAGCTTCACATTCTTTGCTGAGACCCATTTGGATCTTTTACCTGTGAAAACACAAGCAAACTCTCTCCCCCATGTTACAAGGTTGCATTGACTTTCTGTTTGTCCTGTGTCTAAGGTTTTGATTAAGACTGATGGGAGCCCTTTTATTTTTGCTTTTTTGTTGTTCAGAAAATGTCTATAAATGAGGGGGTGAGGCTCTCCTATAGAGCATGGGAACCCAATAGGGAGGAAAAGCCCTGGGGATCCCACACAAGGAGGGGCTGCAAACCCAGCCCTGGGAGTTGTGAGGAGGTAAGAGCCCCTCTGTGCTTAGAAGGCAGCCAGAGATCCATTTGGCACTCAGAGATGATGGAGATGACTTATGGCGGGCAGAAGCCCCACAAGTGCTTGGAATGTGGGAAGGGCTTCAGCTGGAGCTCCGGAGATCAGACCTGATGTGGCACCAGGTGATTCACGTGGGGGAAAACGGCCCTACAGGTTTGGGGAGTGGGGGAAGTGCGGCGAGTGCTGGTCTTGGACAGTCGGGACGGATGGAGACGAAAGATCCCTGGAGACAGGTCTCAGGGTATACAGCTTATTGTGGGAATGTTGCAGACATAGGATTTATTACCTGTCTATCATACAAGCAAAAAGCAAGAGACACAGAGAAACAACAACATCCATGCAAATCCAGATCAGAGACAAGATGGTAGCTTATGCAAAGCATTTTTCTACATATTCTTTGAACCAATAGCGTAAAAGAAAAGGTGTAAAGTCATTATACTCTAACCAATAAGAAAAGGACCCACATGGGTTTAACATTAACGAAAGGACTTCTGTGAACCTCAAACAATACACAATAATTCATTATTTAAGATTGAAACTTCTTCTATCTTTGCATAAGTTCTTGATTTTTTTTGTTCCTTATGATAAATATAAATGTATTCACTTGGTTCTTAACTTCCTGGCTTCCCATGAGAAAGTTTTGAAATTTCACAGCTTTTTTGCACTTTCTAAAGTCTTTTACCTTTTTATACTCCTACAATTCCCCCTCTCTTTTTCAACCCTAAATAAACCATCTTCATTCTGTCACTTATTTACTACCTTGTGTTACATAGCTTCAGTACTGTATATATTTCTTACCCTAGGAAAAATTGTTATAAACTTTCTATATTAAGGCACTTTTTTTTGTTTGCTTTAAGCTCTATCACTTAAAGTTAAAGCATTATCAATGCTGTGTAAGATCAGATTTAGTATCTGCATCAGGTTTTGACAAATCTCTACCTTTCCAAGGTCTCAATTCAAAGACTAAATTTGTGAGTGACTCTAATTCAATTGCTTCTGTGAGGTTTTGTGAACTTTCTGCAATTCCCCTTCCTGCATTTTTCTCTTGGACAACAAAAACTTCTTTAATGGGTCTGTCTGTAATTTGTCGTGAGCAATGACGTGCACAAGGCATTATCATCAGTATCACTATCACAACTATCAACAAGATTCCACCTAACTTGCAAAGTTGCCTCAACCAAGGAGCCAAGCCTTACTCATCAAACAAATTGTCTAACCATGTTTCCTTGTTTTTAATCTCAGATGCCAAGTCTTTAAGATTTTGTATACTTTTGTGAATGGATTCAGAATGATGAAACAAATTCAAGCAACACATTCCCTCGAATTCCTCACAACCATGTCCATGTGCCAGTAAAAGAAAATCAACTGCTGCCCGATTTTGGAGCGTGGTCTTTTGGACACTGCTGATGGCAGTCAGCATGTCACTGAGTGCACTGTATGTGGCATTAGTTTGCTTGCTCAGCCAACATGCAATCCTATCTATTTGTCTCAATGCTGCTTCTAAGCAATTCCAGGTTGTTGGAACTCAAAATGTCTCTCAGACATTTTTAGAGGTTCCAGGCCTTGGTCAGAAGCATTTTAGACCCTGACAGGCAGCTGGAAACAGCTGTGATTTTGAGTTTGAGCCATGGAATGAGTTACCAACTTTGGAGGTGGAACAAACAGTCACAAAAGGTTAGATAATATAGTAAAAGTAGTTACAAAACAGAGGGGAAATTTTTTTAGTATTGTACAGGGGGGTTTTTTACTTTGTACATGGGGGTCAGAAGTTCTAAGATGGAGGGAAGTGGGCTGATCTTGTTCTTCCTCTTTTTTCCTTGCCTCCATGTTCTTGGTGATGTTGGCACTCACAGATTGGTTTAGAGTAGAAAAGCACTTTTTAATATAGGTAGTAGGTATTGGGGGGAAACTATAAACATGTAATACGTAATATATCATATAAAATATAGCAGCAGCCCTGGGCGGGGGGGAGAGAAGAAGAAGACAGCAGACAGAGAGGATGTCAGGGTGTGTGTGTGCCTCTGCCCAGGCCACTGACCAAGCAGCCGCAGCCCGAGAAGACAATCTTTTAGATAACTCACAATAAACTGCCTTGAGACTGAACAGCAAGAGCCTGCGGAGTTTTTCTTTGGAAGCATGGGTTGGAGGAGGAATTTCACCACCACATGGGATCCCAGAATAAGGCCAGGGTTCTCACACCAGGTAAAAAGAAGCTTGCTGAAATCCTTTGTGCCTTTTTCCATGGACTGAAATCACTATTGCAATTTTTTGGGTATATGTGAATAGATCTTTTGTCCCTTCTTGTCCTTTCTGAAACTGCTTTAGCACTAGGTGCTATCACAGTGAGCACACCAATGCTACATGGCCCACCTTCAGGGTATGATGGAATGCCTTGCTATGCTCTGTCTTCACAGATGAACCAATAACCTTTTGGTAATTTCCATGGATACTGGTCAACCCCAGATTTTCCATCTACATTGTATGAGTAATTACACCAAAAACTTGCATTTCTATATTCATAGTAAGAGGGAGTAACATTGTACTTTGGAGAATTAGTTTTTTTTGCCAATTGGTTCCTGAAAATGTGACATAGAAATCTATTGTCAAGGAACCAAGGATCTCCAGTTCTTGGGGTTCTGAACTTGCTTTGAGGAGTTGTCTGGTCCAGAGACTTCAATCCCTTGGGGGATTGCTTCCATTAGCAATCTCGCCTGGCTTGGTATTAAGTCACTTTTTCCTCAAAGGATCATAGTATATAGATATCGGCCAATTTTTCAGTGGCATACAACTAGATAAGTTGAAAAAGACTTTTCTGGATTTAAGTGAGACATACATACCGTATTTGATCCTGCAACCTTGGCTAATGTGACCCAGATATTTGGTTTTGGTTGTTGCACAGGAAAATCTGCATTACAAAAAGCAAGCAAAGCTAGAAAACACAAAGTGAACTGATTTTCCTCTATATCTTTTTTGTTGAGGTACCCTTTGGCAAAAGAATTTTCCATATATCTCGACTTCCAAACTGTATTTTTTTGAGAATTTAGAATGTAAATTTTTTAGAATCTAATGACAATAATAAATCCTTCTTTTTCATGTTTTTGCCGAAAGAGCTCTATGAAACAAACCCTTCACGCATTTATCATTAACATTAAATTGAAGTTTGCAGATTTCACAGGTGACACAGGAACACCAGGTATGACCTGTAGTCTCTCTGTTCAGCTCATGTCTGCGTGCTCACTTCTTCACTTTTGGGCTTGTCAGCGTGTTTTGGTGTGTGGTATGGTTTGATGTTCATTGCTGGAACCCACTTTGGTCCTCCAGCACCTGCAGAAATACAAGCTTACCCTTTGCCCCAAATTATTAGTCTGAAAGGACCTTCAATTTGTCCTGTCTCAG